TCACTGAAATGGCCCCAAATTTTCCCAAAGTATCCCCAGATGTCCCCAAAGTGTCCCCAAGTGTCCCCAAGGTGTCCCAAAATGTCCCAAAACAGCCCCAAAACTCCCCCAAATGGGCCCAAAACCCCCCAAAACGGCCCCAAAATGGCCCCAAATGTCACTGAAATGTCCCCAAATTTTCCCAAAATGTCCCCAGATGTCCCCAAGTGTCCCCAGGTGTCCCCAAGGTGCCCCAAAATGTCCCAAAACTCCCCAAAATGGTCCCAAAATGGCCCCAAATGTCACTGAAATGGCCCAAAATTTTCCCAAAATGTCCCCAAAATGTCCCCAAGTGTCCCCAAAATGTCCCCAAGTGTCCCCAAAATGTCCCCAAGTGTCCCCAATCTCGTTGCAGGGCGTGGACCTGCGGCTGTACTCGCGCCAGGTGGAGCTGGAGCTGCAGGAGGTGGAGAGGGCCTCCATCCAGGACTGTATCCAACCTGTCCCCAAGGGTCCCCAAAGTGTCCCCAAGGGTCCCCAAGGGTCACCAGGGTGTCCCTGGGGGGAAATATCCAAAATTCCCAAAATTTGGCATCAAAATCCCCAAATTTGGCATCAAATGCTCTGCAATTGTCCCCAAAGTGTCCCCAAACCCCCAGAAATGTTCCCAAAAATGTCCCCAACCTGTCCCCAAGGGTCCCCAAACTGTCCCCAAGGGTCCCCAAGGGTCCCCAGGGTGTCCCTGGGGGGAAATATCCAAAATTCCCAAAATTTGGCACAGAAATCCCCAAATTTGGCACCCAAAACCCTCAAATGAGGCATCAAAATCACAAAATTTGGCCCCAAATTCTCTGCAGTTGTCCTCAAAACCCCAAAAATCTCCCCAAAAAGTGTCCCTGAGTGTCCCCAAGGTGTCCCCAGCTGCCTCCAGGGTGTCCCCAAAGGTGAAATTCCCAAAATTTGGCACCAAATTCTCTGCAGTTGTCCTCAAAACCCCAAAAATGTCCCCAAAAAGTGTCCCTGAGTGTCCCCAAGGTGTCCCCAGCTGCCTCCAGGGTGTCCCCAAAGGTGAAATTCCCAAAATTTGGCACCAAAATCCCCAAATGAGGCATCAAAATTGCAAAATTTGGCACCAAATTCTCTGCAGTTGTTCTCAAAACCCCAAAAATGTCCCCAAAAAGTGTCCCCAGGGTGTCCCCAAAGTGTCCCCAAGGTGTCCCCAAGGGTCCCCAGGGGTCCCCGGGGGGGAAATCCCCAAAAATCCCAAAATTTGGCACAGAAATACCCAAATTTGGCATCAAATGCTCTGCAATTGTCCCCAAAGTGTCCCCAAACCCCCAGAAATGTTCCCAAAAATGTCCCCAAGGTGTCCCCAAGGGTCCTCAAACTGTCCCCAAGGGTCCCCAAGGTGGCCCCAAGGGTGAAATATCCAAAATTTGGTACCAAAATCCCAAAATTTGGCATCAAAACCTCAAAATTTGGCACCAAATTGTCTGTAATCAACCCTAAAACTCCCAAAAATGTCCCCAAAAAGTGTCCCCAGGGTGTCCCCAAGGTGTCCCCAAGGGTCCCCAGGGTGTCCCCAAGGTGTCCCCACGGGTCCCCAGGGTGTCCCCAAGGTGTCCCTGAGTGTCCCCAAGTGTCCCCAAGGTGTCCCCAGGGTGTCCCCAAGGTGTCCCCAGGTGTTCCCAAGGTGTCCCCAAAGTGTCCCCGTGGTGTCCCCAAGGTGTCCCATCCCCAAATTGTCCCCAAATGTCCCCAAAGTCCCCATACACTCAGGAAGCCCCCCAAAAAAGCCACAAAAAACCCCAAAAATGCTAAAAAATCCCATAAAAACACCGTAAAATTGCCAAAAATTGTCCTAAAATCGCCAAAAAAAGCCCTAAAACCCCGGGATAAAAACCCCAAATTGTCCCCAAATGTCCCTGAGTGTCCCCAAATTGTCCCCAGCGCATGGAGGAGATGCTGGGCTCGTTCCAGAGCTCGCTGAGCTCGCTGAGCTGGGAGATCCGGGCGCTGCAGGGCCAGGCCGGGGCCATGAACCTGCGGCTGCGCAACCGCCGCCAGGTCCGGGAGCGCCTCGGGGGGCTGCTGGACGAGCTCGTCGTGCCCCCCGACATGATCAGGTGGGAGAAAAGGGGATTTTGGGGGGAAAAAATGGGATTTCGGGTGAAAATTGCAAAAAAAACCGGGATTTCGGGACCAAAAAACGGGGTTTTAGAGACCAAAAAATGGGATTTTACGGAACAAAAATGGGGTCTTGGAGACCAAAAAATGGGATTTTTGACCCCAAAAAATGGGTTTTAGAGACCAAAAATGTGGGATTTAGGGAGAGAATTCCCTCAAAAAATGGGATTTGGGGTGAAAAGTCCCAAAAAAAAGGGATTTTGGGGGCAGCAATTGGGATTTTTGCTGCGGCTGCGCAACCGCCGCCAGGTCCGGGAGCGCCTCGGGGGGCTGCTGGACGAGCTCGTCGTGCCCCCGACATGATCAGGTGGGGAAAAGGGGATTTTGGGGGAAAAACCTAAAAAAAATGGGGTTTGGGGGTGAAAATTGCAAAAAAACCGGGATTTTGGGACCAAAAAATGGCATTTTTGAGACCACAAATGGGATTTTAGAGGTCAAAAATGGGGTTTTGTAGACCAAAAATGGGGTTTGGGGGGGAAAAATGGGGTTTGAGGAGAGAATTCCCCAAAAAATGGGGTTTGGGGGTGAAAAATCCTGAAAAAAATGGGATTTTGGGGAGGAAAATCACGAAAAAACAAAGTATCGGGACAAAAAATGGGATTTTAGAGACCAAAAATGGGGTTTTAGAGACCAAAAATGGGGTTTGGGGGCAAAAAATGGGGTTTGGGGAGAGAATTCTCGAAAAAAATGGGATTTGGGGAGAAAAATTGGGATTTGGGGAGAAAATTCCTGAAAAAAGTTTGATTTTGGGAGCAAAAGATGGGATTTTAGGGACCAAAAATGGGATTTTAGAGACCAAAAATGGGGTTTTGGAGACATGAACCTTAAAAAAAATGGGATTTGGGACTAAAAATGGGATTTGAGGAGAGAATTCCCCAAAAAATGGGGTTTTTGGGGGAAAAAATCCCAAAAAAATGGGATTTCGGGACCAAAAAATACATGAACCTTAAAAAAAATGGGATTTGGGACTAAAAATGGGATTTGAGGAGAGAATTCCCCAAAAAATGGGGTTTTTGGGGGAAAAAATCCCAAAAAAATGGGATTTCGGGACCAAAAAATGGGGTTTTAGAGGCCAAAAATGGGATTTTAGAGACCAAAAATGGGATTTTAGGGACCAAAAATGGGATTTTAGAGACCAAAAATGGGGTTTTGGAGGCCAAAAATGGGATTTTGGGGAAAAAACCCGGGGTGTGGGGGTAAAAATTCCCTTTTCTTGATGGAATTTTTCCCATTTTTGGATGGATCTCCCCTGGGTTTTTTTTCATTTTTCAATGGTTTTCCCATTTTTGATGGACTTTTCCATGAGGTTTCCATGGAATTTTGATGGAGTTTTCCCATTTTTCGATGGAATTGTCCCATTTTTTGATGGAATTTTTCCCATTTTTGGGTTGAACTTTCCCATTCTTAAATGGATTTTTCCCATTTTTCAATGAATTTTACCCATTTTTGGGTGGAACTTCCCCATTTTTCAATGGAATTTTCCCATTTTTTGATGTTTTTTTTCCCGTTTTTGGATGGAACTTTTCCATTTTTCAATGGATTTTTCCCATTTTTGGATGGAATTTTCCCATTTTTCAATGGAATTTTCCCATTTTTCAATGGATTCTTCCCATTTTTCGATGGAATTTTCCCATTTTTCAATGGAATTTTCCCATTTTTCAATGGATTTTTCCCATTTTTGGATGGAACTTTCCCATTTTTTGATGGATTTTTCCCATTTTTTCCCATGTTTTTCCAATTTTTTGATATTTTCTCCCCATTTTCTCCCCTCCCAGCGTGATCCTGGAGGCGCCGGTGACCTCCCCTGAGTTCGTGTCCCAGCTGCGGGCGCTGGACGCCATTTGGATGAAATTTCCATTGGATTTCCAGAGTTCGTGGCGCAGCTGCGGGAGCTTGACGCCATTTTGATGAAATTTCCATTGGATTTCCATGGATTTCCATGGGATTTTGATGGAAAATAACCATTTTTGACCGTTTTCTCCCGTTTTCTCCCCATTTTCCGTGATCCTGGAGGCGCCGGTGACCTCCCCCGAGTTCGTGTCCCAGCTGTGGGCGCTGGACGCCATCTCAGTGGGATTTTAATGAGATTTCCATGGGATTTCTATAGAAAATTCCCATTTTTTAATGGAATTTTCCCGTTTTTTTCCCCATTTTTCTGTCCCCAGCGTGATCCTGGAGGCGCCAGTGACGTAGCCGGAGTTCGTGGCGCAGCTGCAGGCGCCGGACGCCATTTGGATGAAATTTCCATTGGATTTTGATGGATTTCCATTGGATTTTGATGGATTTTAATGGGATTTTGATGAAATTTTGACCGATTTTTCCCGTTTTTTCCCCATTTCTCCATGCCAGTGTGATCCTGGAGGCTCCGGTGACGTCGCTGGAGTTTGTGGCGCAGCTGCGGGCGCTGGACGCCATTTCAGTGGGATTTCCATTGGATTTTGATGGATTTCAATGGGATTTCAATGGAAAATTCCCATTTTGTGACCGATTTTTCCCGTTTTTTCCTGTTTTTTCCCCATTTTTTCCCCTCCCAGTGTGATCCTGGAGGCGCCGGTGACCTCCCCTGAGTTCCTGGTGCAGCTGCTGGCGCCGGACGCCATCTCAGTGGGATTTCAATGGGATTTCCATGGATTTCAATGGGATTTTGATGAAATTTTGACCGATTTTTCCCATTTTTTGATATTTTCTCCCCATTTTCTCCCCTCCCAGCGTGATCCTGGAGGCGCCGGTGACGTCGCCCGAGTTCGTGGCGCAGCTGCGGGCGCTGGACGCCATTTTGATGAAGTTTCCATTGGATTTCCGTGGATTTCAATGGGATTTTGATGAAATTTTGACCGATTTTTCCCATTTTTTGATATTTTCTCCCCATTTTCTCCCCTCCCAGCGTGATCCTGGAGGCGCCGGTGACGTCGCCCGAGTTCGTGGCGCAGCTGCGGGCGCTGGACGCCATTTGGATGAAATTTCCATTGGATTTCCATGGATTTCAATGGGAATTTTGACTTTTTTTACCATTTTTTACCATTTTTTCCCCATTTTTTGACATTTTCTCCCCATTTTCCCCTCGCAGCGTGATCCTGGAGGCGCCGGTGACCTCCTTGGAGTTTGTGTCCCAGCTGCGGGCGCCGGACGCCATTTCCGTGGGATTTTAATGAGATTTTAATGAGATTTCAATAGATTTCAATGGGAATTTTGCCATTTTTTCCCATTTTTTGACGTTTTCTCCCCATTTTCTCCCCATTTTCTCCCCTCCCAGCGTGATCCTGGAGGCGCCGGTGACCTCCCCCGAGTTCGTGTCCCAGCTGTGGGCGCTGGACGCCATCTCAGTGGGATTTTAATGAGATTTCCATGGGATTTCTATAGAAAATTCCCATTTTTTAATGGAATTTTCCCGTTTTTTTCCCCATTTTTCTGTCCCCAGCGTGATCCTGGAGGCGCCAGTGACGTAGCCGGAGTTCGTGGCGCAGCTGCAGGCGCCGGACGCCATTTGGATGAAATTTCCATTGGATTTTGATGGATTTCCATTGGATTTTGATGGATTTTAATGGGATTTTGATGAAATTTTGACCGATTTTTCCCGTTTTTTCCCCATTTCTCCATGCCAGTGTGATCCTGGAGGCTCCGGTGACGTCGCTGGAGTTTGTGGCGCAGCTGCGGGCGCTGGACGCCATTTCAGTGGGATTTCCATTGGATTTTGATGGATTTCAATGGGATTTCAATGGAAAATTCCCATTTTGTGACCGATTTTTCCCGTTTTTTCCTGTTTTTTCCCCATTTTTTCCCCTCCCAGTGTGATCCTGGAGGCGCCGGTGACCTCCCC